TCAATCAAATACAATGTTTTATTGTCTTTCTTCATTTCTGTGAAACAAACAGAAAAACACACAAAGACATCCCTCAATAAATTTTCTTGTGAAATTCTGTCTGTCTCTATCTTCTTAATTTAGTATTATGATATTCCATTATATTTTTATATCATGATATTATAATAATATTTCATATTATTCACATCTCCTCACCATCGTAGCAGATGAACCACATAGTACGGTCACATGAAACATCTGCCAGCTTTTTATCTCCATTATCGTATCTTTTCCTGCCACAGTTTCCAGGCGGTTCTTTACCAGTTCTTCCACTCTGATTCCAGCTGCTGTCATTATGAATGTATTCCACTCCTGGCAGAGACCAATGCCACATCCTGTTTCCACCTGTGTTGTTGTTCAGTCCAATCCAGGCTTCTCCTTGATTCTGTGCGGAGTTACGGAGTCTGCTCATGTCTGTCATGTCAAACACTTTGGCCAGGTCTGTATATTTCGCTCTGCAGTATCTCTGTGCTTCATACCAGCTCTTGTTTTCTGCAATAAAGTGGTACTCATACAGGCGGCATGTAAAGAAGCAACACTGACCTAAAATACAGAAATATGATATAGAGATTATGAGATTATTGAATTCACTTAAAAAAGTAAAAAACAACAACAACAACAAAACGTGTGAGGTCATAATCTCATTTTAATTTCAATTAAAAACTGTATATTTGGTGAAACAATCCACTTACCCATCAGAATAAGTGGATACAGACTCCACTGCATCTTTGATCTGACAGATGAAAGTGATGTTTTATTACTCAAGGAAACAAAGATTTGAACAGAACTTCTTCTTTTTTCACTTTATGTCAGGAAAGAAAAGATGGATTAAACAGAAAGGTAGATAAAGAAAAATAGTGTGAACATTATGAACAAGAACAGAAATTCATTCATTTTTAATAATTCAGCAGCTCATGGAGAAGGTAATGAAACCTTGAATGTTACTCATCTTGGAAGTTCTTGTTATTTTAAGCTCACAAGTCTTTTCAGTAAACATCGTGCAAGATAAGTTTCTTTTTTGTAACACATGACAAAATATTTTCAATGTTCTCTACACATCACCTCTGTACTACATACATTAAATATCTTACAGTTTTTAAACTTACATGTGATAATTTCTTCTCTATCCGACGTGTTCATGAAGACAGCTCTCAGGTAAATATTGAAACACAGTATAGAGAGCTCTTTTTGTCCTGGTCAGGATTTGAATATCAAAATAAAAGTCTGAC